GAGCGAATTAACCCACGGACACAGCCCACTGAGTTTCTTGCCGGATCTTCTCAGTGGGTTGCGTTTCCGATCCGGTGGTAGATTCTGCGAAGCACTGCTCTTCCTAGGGTCAGTGTTAGCAACTCTCCGGTTGAGCCCCGTGAGCTCACCTACAAATGTTAGGGTGAAGCTGAAATAGCCTCTCAAGGCTATCAGTATAGGTAGGAAAAAAAAAGTGCCTATACAATGTCGCGACGTGGCCTGTAACTCTAGTCTAAATTCTATTAGCTCCCATCTTCAATAAATAATCTCAGCAAGTCCATAAGGCAGAGAAAAGTATTTAAAAAAAAAAATCTAGCACAGATCTTCGATTTAATTTAGTGTATGGTTTTGATGTCATATGGTTTCGTAATATTCAATCAGCATTAAACAAATCTAAAATAATTCAGGTAAGCTGTAAAAACTATAAACTTGTATAATAAATATGTAGAGTAATTCATTGTTATCAGTAATAGTATTGATCGAAAGCAAACCATGCTAGTTATACCAAAAAAAGTAACATCTTGCAGCAAAGAAATGTTGAAAAGTCGGTCAAAACGAAGCGAATATAATATGGAGAACGAATATTTAGATAAATCCACCAGGGAATTCATAATCAACGAACAAAATGCCAACGACACTAGTTTAAAATTATTTTTACAGTATCATTATATATTATATTATATATTTTAATAATATAAAACTAACTTTAAAATAAACGTGCGAACTAACCCATAGACACAGAGTTTCTCGCCGGATCTTCTCAGTGGGTTGCGATTCCAATCCGGTGGTAAATTCTACGAAGCACTGTTCTCGCTAGGGGGTAGTGTTAGCAAATTCTCTCAAGTTGAGCCCGTGAGGTTATCCACCTCTCCGGGCGAAGCTGGAATAGCCTCTTTATCTACCAGCGAAAAGGTAAGGAAATAAAACGCCAACATAAACTTATTACTTGAAAGGCCATCTCCTTTTGGCCGTCACCATAATTTTATTTGTACGTGATGCCTTCTACCAGCATGATGTAGGTTATGGTTGCAAAAAATCTCCAAAGTTCTACATTTAGTTCTGTTAAAGAAGCGCCTACCCATTAGTTAGCAGGGCGGTAGTCAGTTCGTTCATTTCAAAGAGCAATCAAACTATACTTGCGCGGATTTCATGCCCTGTCAGACCAGACCGACAGTAAGAGATTCTGATATTTTTTTACTTGTGTTACATAAGGAACTCGTTTAACTTGAACATGTCACCTTCATTGTACCAAGACCTTAAAAGCTACAGAGGATAATGCATAACTATATAACTTTCTTTAACATTTGTTTACTATAACTACGAGTACCTATGTTTCGAATTAGTGCATTTTTGTAAATATTGACAATGAAAGCATTATGTAACTTTTATTTTTAAAATACACGATTTAAAAGATTTATTACGCACCTTCATATTATTATAACGTGTTTAAACAAAACAGATTACCACGCACGCATTATAAATTACTTCTGAAATCATTGACCCAAATGCGTTGTGCGTCCTTATGTTATTTTCGTGCATCCTTACAAAGGAAAGAGAATTTTGTGTAAGCAGTTCAACATTTAACATCTGTACTCATATAGGTTTTTATTTTATTTCCATAAGCCCTAAGGTCTTTCTTTCTATTTTTATTATCATTAGGCCCACATGGTATTCTTTGCACTTAAATAACGGCTGTCCTACACTTCAAAACATAATGAGTGATAACAAAAGCAATCGGGCCTGTGATACAAGCCCGTACACGACACGCATGCGGACGGATAATGGAAACAGTTCACACTTTGTGAACACAGTGATCGAGTATTGGTACAATTCTGATTAAGGCTCATGTAAGAATTAAATCTACGCTTAGGTTTCGATTTTTTCGTCTTGATTTTTTTATTTCTTTTAAACGTAAACGGAACATACGGAACGTAATGGAAGATATTTAATAAAACTTGTAAAGATTTGATTCCAGTTGCGGCTCTGTGTTCAGTAAGTAGGCGGAACACACAAAAACTGTTCAGTGAAGAAGTTTCATTTGTAAACCGGCTTGCCGAACGTGCTAAAGTAGGCCAACGATCGCAGCACGCGATAGGCTACCACTCGCAACTATTCTTAGTATACATTCGCAAAAAAAATACATTAGTGATCTCTGTACAGAAGTCACAACAATTTTGTCTCTGGTGACATTCGTTATTAAGCTGTCTTAGTACAGACTACTTTCATGGCCTGCACCACAGTTAAGCTAAAAGTCATAGGGGCTCTTGTTTTGTGGTTGATTTTTCGAATACCAGGTAAAACTAATCGAAATTACGAACCACAACATCAATAAATCAATAGATGATTGTATTTTGTCATGCTTAAAATAAAAAATAAAAACTATATTGTCCTGTTAATTATCAATTTACTTTATGGATACCTTTTATGTCATATTTAATAAATAAACTCTTAATAACAGAAATAATACAAATCATACCGTGTAATATTGATTAGAACATCTAAGTTAATGTTGAGTAGTGATTAGTGATCATTTGATATTTCTTGTGCTCTAATCTCGGTGGCTATGGCCTTAATTTCAGTGTTTCAGTATTGTGAAACTCTCGACACTGCATTAATGACAGCATGATCTTACAAAAACCATATTTCCTGGTATTGGCTAGTATAGTTAATGATACTTTATCGTTTCTGTCACGCAGGTGCTACGGAGCTAGTGTCTGTTACAAAGATAGGTCACGTTAAATTTTATTAAAAATCTAATTAAAAAAATGTGTATTTTTTATTTATCTTTTGCTTTAGTCGCGTTATGTATCGATTGAGTTGAAACTGTGTGCAGTTGTTGGTACTGCTGGGAAGATATTCTAGTAAAATACATACACAATACAGCCAAAGTCGTCGTGGCCAAAAGGATAAGATGAAGTCGTCGTGGCCTAAAGGATAAGACGTCTGGTGCATTCGTACCTAGCGATGCACCGGTGTTCGATTCCCGTAGGCGGGTACCAATTTTTCTAATGAAATACGTATTTAACAAATGTTGACGATTGACTTCCACAGTGAAGGAATAGCATCGTGTAATAAAAATTAAACCCGCAAAATTATAATTTGCGTAATCACTGGTGGTAGGAGAGGTTGGGAGTCCGCACGGGTAGGTACCACCACCCTGCCTATTTCTGCCGTGAAGCACAAATGCGTTTCGGTTTAAAGGGTGGGGCAGCCGTCGTAACTATACTGAGACCTTAGAACTTATATCTCATTTACGTTGTAGATGACTATGGGCTCCGGTAACCACTTAATACCAGGTGGGCTGTAAACTCGTCCAACTTTTTTATTTTTATTTTTTTTTATTGCTTAGATGGGTGGACGAGCTCACAGCCCACCTGGTGTTAAGTGGTTACTGGAGCCCATAGACATCTACAACGTAAATGCGCCACCCACCTTGAGATATAAGCTGTAAGGTTTCAGTATAGTTACAACGGCTGCCCCACCCTTCGAACCGAAACGCATTACTGCTTCACGGCAGAAATAGGCAGGGCGGTGGTACCTACCCGCGCGGACTCACAACAGGTCCTACCACCAGTAGTATCTAAGCAATAAAAATAAAATATAAAAATAAAGTGTACACTGATAAATTTTAAATTAGACTGACTTTGAATGAGAGGCCCTCAAATGAGAATAACATTTTAGGAACATAAATCGCTAAACCTCATTTTTACAGATCGTTTTCCTCAATTCAAACTAAGCAACTTCAAAGATTCTCACAATCGAGACAGTTAAGTCAACTTTAAATTTAAATTGTCCATTGTGTTTTAAAATAAATTAATTGAATACAATCGCGAACTGGGTTGCAATAATGTAGTGGTTATTCATTAAACGATTGAAACCAACAACTAAGGAATGATCTTGACTGGATCGCTTAAAGATTATAGTACTGTAAAGTGCTCCGAAGATGAATTTATAAAATCACGTTATTGTCCTACTCTACGTATGGTGACCGCGTGGACCGCGTGGAAGGTTACCCATGCGATGGACCGGCTAGATCAAGTCGGCAGTTGGCGGCTGCCGGTACCAGTACCAGACTCACCACAAACCGGGAGGAGTGGCGATTGCCCGTGATAACATCCACCCAGCAATAGTACTGAATGACGACCACGACCGCTTTGACAAGAGCGATACGACGAGATACATACGTATGGTATAGGTAATAATTTCTTTTATTAACTCCTATAATTATTTTAATATAAATATCGATGTTTTATAACATAATAGTAAATTTTTTTTGTTTACGTAACAAAAGTACATGTAACTGATGATTTTAAACGATACAATCTTATTATTAAAAATATCTGTTTAAAAACAATAAATAGCCATGATAATGATATGAAATACCTACATAAAATACGCCAGTTGTTCATAATACAGAGTCCATATTATGTACACACAATGGAGTACTGTATGTGTAATTCAATGAATTTAGATGGATTGTGAAAGCCAGATTACCTTTATTTATTCAGATATTCATACTTAGTTCACTTATGTAAACGCGTCCATTTAGTAAATTGTTGTTTATCGGTAAACATTGTTTATCTAGCTCACTAAATTCGCTCATGTAAAAAAATGTGGAGATTAAATTTTAGTAGTAATTAACTATTTACAATGCTACGTGCGTTTAAAAAATGTATATTTATTAAGTAGTTTTCTGTTTTTTCTTCTCTTATGTACTTGCATGTAACAATTTATAAAGTAATAAATCATCTATGTTTACAGTCATTTCTTATAAAAATAAGAAAATAAAATTAAAATCATAAAAAAAAAGTTCTTACTTGGTGTTTAAATTTTACGTTTCACGTAAAACTGTCACTGAATTAAAAAAAAAAAACGTATGCCGCCGTAATATATTATTTACATGTATAATCACGTGCCTCGATGTAAACAAACCGGTCCTATGCGCACGGTGTCACTGTAACGGAAACTGGTTAACTCACCGTTTTCACAGGTATATCCCCATTCGTTGTCTGCCATTATCACTTCACTGATGTCACTGACGACGACTCGAGTATAGGTGTCTTTTGAGGTGAATGTGAGACGCGTGTCGACTGAATGCACGGGTGAGCGTGTCCGAACCGTGACTGCGTGCGAGTGTGAGGCGCCTCCGGTTTATGAAGGGGCGGCGAGAGCGACGCTGAGCGGAGGCGGGCGCGGGTGCTGGCGCTGAGGAGGCCGCGGGGAGGCACTGCCGCACGCTAGCGCTCCACCGCTGCACTGCGCTCGCGACCACCGCGCGTCACACGCCCGCGTACCACTGCGCCCCACCGGCTTTCTACACGCATACAACTAACTCATAATTACTATTTATTTACTCATTAAATACGTTATCACATGCCAATGACTATCAAACTCGACGACTTATTAAAACATCTAACACCGTCGTATCATTTCAATGTCACAATAGAGACACTCCGTATACTTTAGCTGTTTCCACAAAAAAAATGTAATTAATTATTTCATGCTACAAAATGGTTTTTGTTTGTTATGAAATAAAAAATGTATCCTTGAGTACTAAAAATTATAGCGTATATAATATTATAACATAATAATGAGTTAAAAAATCATCGTTAATTGTTTCTACACTGTCGCTAAATCTACTGATTTTCTAGACGAAAACAACGCATAATTTTTAATTAGGGTTTTAAATGAAAAGCACAGTTTATAGTAAAAGCTACATCGTTCCTTTCAGTATGAAATACATTGTGATTTTTTACGAGGCGAACCTGAACTATTATAGAAAACTTAAAACTTCTTTTGCAACGAACATACAAAAGAATTCAACGCATATGTGTTTCGTGAACCTAAAATTTCTTAGTAATTTATCATAAATCTGTCGGTATTATACAATTTTATTCTACTAAATTCATTTTCATTTATTGAAGAAACACATTAGGTATTTTTTCGTAAATATTATTAGAGTTATTTTTTTATCTGCTGTTTATTTGACTACTACGAAGAAGTTACGTAAGTAATTTTCGCAAAAAATATATATTTATATAACAGCGATTACGGTAAATAATCGCAATCTGTAATCATGTATTATATTAAATTATATATTATATACATATATTTAATAATGTTTAATTGCATTATTATACAATTACAGATTATTTTATAATCATTATTAATTTCGACGTTTCCAATACTTTAAAATTTTCCATTTCACAGACGATTGAATATATCCAAATGAAAACTAACTCGATATTCATGTCGTTTTCATTTTTAGGGGAAGTTAATCATAATCTTTTATCATTTGAGACAGAGAAACTGGTGTGAGACCGCGGTCACCTCCCGTTTTCCTCTCTAACTCTCAAATTCTTAACCAACGAGTTTCTATGACGAATATTAGTAGCATACAAAGTAATGATCACACGGGTGGTAAAAATGAGAATGGTGGGAAATTTATAATGTTTCATTTAGCAAAATTTAAATGAAACATATACGAAATTGACGTGATTTTATTTGATGTTTTATTTAAGCTAAGACGATATTAATTCATTAAATATTATGCTTATGAGATATAAAAAAACATAAAAATGAAAATATGTTTTATCTATTGTTTTTAAAAGAGATATTTAAACTTACTTGTGGATGACTGTTTGGTTATTGAAACATTTTGTATTTTTTTTATCTGTCCAATTTCACAAATGAAAGCACATAACATCATATTTGACCTCAACGATAAACTATGTAATACCTCGTATTTGACCTCAACGATAAACTATGTAATAAATACATCGTATTTGACCTCAACGATAAACTATGTAATACATCGAATATAAATCTACATCGTTAAGATAACTGTAATTTAGTGCAGTGAGTGACCGATTGATCGAAACATAATGTAAAAATTATGTTTTATCACACGCGGTCTTTAACACGTAACCGTTAATATGCGAATTTTTTAATTTTTTTTTATTGCTTAGATGGATGGACGAGCTCACAGCCCACCTGGTGTTAAGTGGTTACTGGAGCCCATAGACATCTACAACGTAAATGCGCCACCCACCTCGAGATATAAGTTCTAAGATCTCAGTATAGTTACAACGGCTACCCCACCCTTCGAATCGAAACGCATTACTGCTTCACGGCGGAAATAGGCGGGGTGGTGGTACCTACCCGTGCGGACTCCCAAGAGGTCCTACCACCAGTAATTACGCAAATTATAATTTTGCGGGTTTCATTTAAAGTAAACATAAAGTCGTCTTTTGTTTTTATTCTTCATATTTCTTTTTTAGTTCATTTAAATTTTCTTTTTTTACTGGTGGTAGGACCTCTTGTGAGTCCGCACAGGTAGGTACCACCACTCGGGCTATTTCTGCCGTGAAGCAGTAATGCGTTTCGGTTCGAAGGGTGGGGAAGCCGTTGTAACTATACTTGAGACCTTAGAATTTATGTTTCAAGGTGGGTGGCGCATTTACGTCGTAGATGTCTATGGGCTCTAGTAACCACATAACACCGGGTGGGCTGTGAGCTCGTCCACTCACATAAGCAATAAAAAAAAGTTTTTTTATTCAAATAAAACATATGAAAGATCATAATTATTGGTTCAACAAAAATCAACGGTGAATAAAGAGCGCGAAATTGCAAGTTCAGTAAAAGTGGTATTTCCAAATAGTCATATACTCGCACGCCAAATGATCCGTAGAACCCTTACATAGGACACGCGAAGCAATAGAACGTAGCAGTAATACAAAAAATTTAAACAATTGATTGCTTTTACATTAAAATTGTCTTTTAATGTAAATATCATTAGATTTTTTTTAATGTTTGAATTGCCGAAGTACCCATAAAAAAATCAATCGAATGAATGTCATAAGGTTATTAGAGATAGGCGCTTTCTTGAAATGATAGTCTGTAAAAATGAATCGAGAATCACTTACATAAGTATTTGAAAGTTGAAAAATAGCAGTTTTATAGTTGAAAAATAGCATTAGTTTTGAAAAATAATCCGTTACAATATGTGTCTACTTCAAANGTTTGAATTGCCGAAGTACCCATAAAAAAATCAATCGAATGAATGTCATAAGGTTATTAGAGATAGGCGCTTTCTTGAAATGATAGTCTGTAAAAATGAATCGAGAATCACTTACATAAGTATTTGAAAGTTGAAAAATAGCAGTTTTATAGTTGAAAAATAGCATTAGTTTTGAAAAATAATCCGTTACAATATGTGTGTCTACTTCAAATATCATTTACTGTAAAAGTGTTTTTAGAAAAAACAACGTAAGTGCAATGTATACAAAAATGCTTAATTCAAAATAACTGATTTTAAAGTCGGTATTTTATTTAAATCCTGTATATATATGTACGTATATTGTGATATGCACTCAGGATATTTCGCTTATTATTGATGTACAAGGTTCGTTTAATATAAAATAGGAATTGGATAACTTCAAACTTCAAAATTAATGCGTTTACTCCTAAAAATACCCACGGGCCTCACTACATTTCTTGGCATCAGTAAGCCCTTCTGTTAGTGAACTTTAAAATAAACATAATTCAGCTTAGTGAGTAAACAGCTAATGTTTTTACATCATACAATGTTTGCAAGACAAGTTGTGCCAAACAGGTAAACCACAGCGATTATTCCAACTTAAAGTAGAGATACAGTAATGGCTTGGAAATTACACTTCATTTTCTAATCTAAAAGATTTTTATGAATATTGTTGGAGTTTGTATGAGTAAGTAATGGCAGGCAACGCTTGTCACATGTGAAGTAAGAGTTTTCGAATATTGGAATGCTTATTTAAATGTTTAAAACAGATGATTTTCTTCTCTTCAGTCATGACAAGGACTTCTCATCTAGACATGGATAGTGCAACATCTTAGGGTTTTATAAAGATAAAATATTGTAATAGTGTACAAAGTGTTTGCAATATAATTATATTAAATACTAGCGGCCCGCTCCGGCTCCGCTCGGGTCTTTAACAAAAATTTCAACGATATTTGACGTTGTTTTATTTTTAAAATAAAAGAACACTTATTGCGACATAACTAAAATAGTAGACATATGCTGTCGCGACACTTTTTGTAAATAATACAGTGTTCTACAAAGTCCTGTACATTATTTAATTCTATCATCAATAGTTTTCGCAGGGCACGCGATGTAAAGAATATTTTAGGTAATTTTTTTACACCTTGGGTTACATTATTAGAGTTTTAGTAAGGATCCCTATTTTTTTCAAAAAAGATCATAGCCTATGTCACTCGGGAATAGAGTAGCTTCCAAACAGTGATAAATTTTTCAAATCGATTCAGTAGTTTCGGAGTCTATTCAATACAAACAAACAAACAAATCTTTCCTCTTTATGATATTAGTATAGATGACGCAGAGTGTTTTTCAAATAGCCCCTCACCCACAGAACCCAATCCCATCAAATTTAACCATCCAACAAATATGTTATTTTATGTTATATTACTGGTGGTAGGACCTCTTGTGAGTCCGCGCGGGTGGGTACCACCACCCTGCCTATTTCTGCCGTGAAGCAGTAATGCGTTTCGGTTTGAAGGGTGGGGCAGCCGTTGTGACTATACTTGAGACCTTAGAACTTGTATCTCAAGGTGGGTGGCGCATTTACGTTGTGGATGTCTATGGGCTCCAGTAACCACTTAACACCAGGTGGGCTGTGAGCTCGTCCACTCATCTAAGCAATAAAAAAAAAAAAAAAATGTTTTAAATAAATTGAATTAAATCATATAAACAAATCGAAAATAGCTTTAAGTGAAATTTCGTTTTGTATCAAAAAATAAACACTGTATTTGTACGTGGGGATTGTTGTTAACTAACGTATTCTATCGAGATTTCAATTCTTTAGAAGAGTTCAGTACAAATTGAGATAAATCAATCAATTCTAATGCTGTGAGCGAATGTTATATTAATCTCTTTTAAGGTGATCGGAGTTCACAGCGACACAGGATTTTGGTGGATAGTCTCCAAAAAACGAAGACGCCATCTCGATCTAATGGGTGTCGATTTCATTTTTCTCTCCCAACACAACGGCTATTCGAATACGCTCTAGTTTTCGATCATGAAGTTGTAAAGATACAAAAATAAGTACAAAAAAATAAGCTAGAAAACAATAGATTTTTTCTTTTTAAAAATATATATTTTGTAATGATGAAGTATCATAAAATCGCAAGAGTGGATAACACCATCTTACCTATTTTTGCCGCTAAGCGTTCCGATTTGAAGGATGAGGCAGCCGTTATACAATACAAGTGAGACCTCGACGTCCAGTCTCCAGGTGGAATCCACCT